ATCCTTGTCAGTGAGACAGCAGTTGTGACATAACTGTCATTACGTATGTATCAAAATGTGAAGGATAGGGGTCAGCAGCTTGGGGAAAATAACTCTGAAGACAATGATGGGCCTTTTTAAGAAATCCTGTAATCATCAATTCTCTTGATGGTAAAGAGGAAAATGTATGGAAAAACAGGGACATTAACAACTCTAAGTTGAAAATTAATTTAGAACACTGTGTGTAAAGAGATTAATCTTTAATTTATATCATTTATAATTACCATTTCTTCTCACAAAAGTGATACATATACACATGCACAAACATACTCACATGATATATTTTTTTCATACAAAATGGTACAAAGAGAAAAATTCAAGTGGTCCATAATTTCACCACCCAGATTATTATTCAAGACATTAAAATAGGGCAAAAAAATCAGTTGTTTTATTCATATGCTGTATTTTGTTCACTTGTACTTCAGTTTTTTTTTTTTTTTTTTTTTACGGTATGTAGGCCCCTCACTGTTGTGGCCTCTCCTCTTGTGGAGCACAGGCTCCCAACGCGCAGGCTCAGCGGCCATGGCTCACGGGCCCAGCCACTCTGGCATGTGTGATCCTCCTGGACTGGGGCACGAACCTGCGTCCCCTGCATCGGCAGGCGGACTCTCCACCACTGCGCCACCAGGGAAGCACTTTAGTTTTTAGACTGTTGCTATTCATAGATCATTACCTCTATTTCATAGATTAGTATCTTTAAATTTTCAAAATCAAGTTTCTTATGTAAATCCCCAGTTTTTAACTAGTTATGTTTCAGTTGGGAACAGTATTATAAAGATTACCAAAAACAGTTAAATTCCCAGGTTAGCTAAAAAGGACTATTTAACTCCAAATGCATCTTTACCATAATAAATACTGTGAGAATACAGAACCTATAAGCTCTGTTATGGACTAAATTGTGTTCCCCTCAAATTCATATTTTGAGGACCTAACTCCCAATGTGACTGTATATGGAGACAGGGACTACAAGGAGATATTTAAGGTTAAGTGAGGCCATAATGGTAGGGCCCTAATCCAATAGAGCTGGTGTTCTTATTAGAAGAGGAAGAGGGACCACAGCCACCCAGACTGTGGTATTTTGTTACGGCAGGCTAAGATACTAAAGAAGGCTTTTTATAGCATCATTTAAAAACATTAGACAATGTCTTCAATTTCAACTTGGGACATCCTCTCCTACTACAGTTCTAGCATCAAGAAGACATATTCCCGGGAATTCCCTGGTGGTCCAGTGGTTAGGACTCCACACTTTCACTGCTAAGGACCCAGATTCCATCTCTGGTCAGGGAACTAGGATCCGACAATCCGTGCATCGCAGCCGGGGTGGGAGTGGGGGGAGGCGCGACTGGATATTCCTGTTCATCAGTAAAACTGCAAGATTCTCACTTCCAGCACCTCTGGGTTTTTGGCTTCTGTGTCATTGCAGTCAGAGAGTGAGGTAGGGATGAAGGCTTTGGGATTGGTGTTTTGTGGAGAAAAAAGGTGGGAGAATGAGGTGAAGTGGAAGATGGGGAGAAAGAAGAGGAACTGAAGAACTCTAGTGGGATGAGAATGAACGCTGCAATCAGGATAGTTGGGCTCAAACCGCAACTACGCTCTTTACTGCTGTATGACCTTTAGAAAGTTACTTAACTTCTCTGGGTTCAGTTTCTTCATGTGAAATATTAGAAATAGAAATAATAGAAATAGGATAGCAATAATAAATTCTTCATTGGGGTTAAATAAAACAGCATAGATGTAAGCAGTGGGTAAATGAAATGCGCAAAATCATTAGCTGAATTAAGAGCATAGTTGCTCTGATATACTCATCTACAGGATATGTTATTTATTTTCACAATTCTTCTCACTTTTAGAGGTATTCTGAAGCAAAGAAAAGAATATGATCTTTAAAATCAGATCTGTGTTCAAATCCTAAGTCCAACACTTAGTACCTATTTGACACTGGATAAGTTATTTAGCAGCACTGAGCTTCAGTTTCATTATCCTTAAAATGAGGCCAACAATGCTCACCTTATGTGGTTTATAGGGAATAAGTTAGATCAGATATGTAAAGTGCCTGACGGAGGCTAAGAGTTAATACTGTAAAGATGTCATTTTCGTCGTAAAATAAGTGCATTCTTAATCCAAATTCCAACAGAGTGTTTCATGTAATTTGACAAGGTGTTCTAAAATTCATCTGGAAGAGAAGATATACAAAAATATCCAAATGAAAAAGAACATCAGGAGAGTTTTGGTATTATATACGAAAATAGTATAAAGTTAAATAATTAAAACAGTATGGTATTAGCACAGGTATAGACAAGTAGATCAATGAAAAAGAATGGAGTCCAGAAACAGACCTAGATATATGTAGATTTTGTGTATCATATAAATATAAGCATAAGAATAGGCTATTAAATAAAATGTTGGGCCAAGTGGCTGTCCTTAAAAAACAATTCCTACCTTATTCCATACGCAAAAATAAATCCCAGGTGGATTCGAGTTTTAAGAGTTAAAAAAAAAAACTACTAAAAGAGAAAATATGGAATATTTACAGGAAGGTTGGGGAAGGTTCTAAGTTAGCGAGAAAACTGAGAAGCTGTCACTCTCACCATAAAGAGAAAGCTCATGTATTTTACTACTGTATTGCAATTTCTTCCCATTAGCAAAAATGAAGTGAATCCCAACCTCTAATGTGGTATTCTGAACAATATACAAAAATCCTTCTGTACTTAAAAACATTTTTAAATAGTCTTGTAAGTATAGAGAGACAATGTGGCAATAGCTTTTATTTATTTATTTAGGCCACGCCATGGGGCATGCAGGATCTTAGTTCCCCACCACCCCAGGGATCGAAACCATGCCCCCTTCAGTGCAAGCACGGAGCCTTAACCGCTGGACTGCCAGGGAAGTCCCACAAAAACATTTTTAAAAAGACAATTTCTCTCATATTAATTTTAAATACAATGAAACAATTTCCTACTGATTAAGTGGGTACTGTAGTCATATTAGTGTTGGTGGTTACAACCACACAACTTAGAAATGCATAAGGGGTTTCCCTGGTGGTCCAGTGGTTAAGAATCCACCTTCCAATGCAAGGGACGTGGGTTCGATCCCTGGTCAGGGAACTAAGATCCCACATGCCACAGGGCAACTAATCCCTTGTACCACAACTACTGAGCCCGTGCGCCACAATGAAGAGCCTGTGTGGCACAACTAAGACCCGATGCAGCCAAAAAATTAAATAAATAAAAAAATATTTTTTTTAAAAAAAGAAATGCATAAAATACAATAGAAAGTTCCATTTAAAAATAAATATAGGGACTTCCCTGGTGGCTCAGCGGTTAAGAATCCACCTGCCAGTGCAGTGGACACGGGTTCAATCCCTGGTCCGGGAAGATCCCACATGCCGCGGAGCAACTAACCCTGTGCCCCACAACTACTGAAGCCCGCATGCTCGAGGGCCCGTGTGCCGCAATTACTGAGCCTGCATGCTGCAACTACTGAAGCCTGCATGCCTAGAGCCCATGTTCTGCAACAAGAGAAGCCACCACAATAAGCCCGCGCACCATAACGAAGAGTAGCCCCCGCTCACCAAGGGGAGAAAGCCTGCTCACAGAAACGAAGACCCAATGCAGCCAAAACAATTTTTAAAATAAAACAAAAATAAATATATACTATGCTTCCATGATTCTAAATTGCATTATGAAGTGCAGTTCTCAACAATTCACAATCATTTCCTTGAGATTAATGACATTTTAAAACCTAGAGCTCAAAAGAATCAGAAAAAGGACGTCAACTATATTAGGTAATCGGAAGGCAAAGCAAAATTTAATTGCTACAATATTTGATATTCCAAAGGTATAATTTACTAATTCAATAAAGAGGAAAAATGTGCTAAGTGGGTTTTTTCTTTTTTTGAATGACAAAATTTGGATTATGTTTTAATTAACATGTTGACAAAGTATTTTCAAAAGCTTTATCTCAAGGTTTTATTCATCTGAATGGCTTTCAACTATGCATTGTCACTTGATTTCACAATGGAAAAATGATTTGTAACTGATTTACAACAGATCCAGCATTTTTAAGTGTAAATCTAGGAAAATGAAAGATTCATAGGTACTTCTCAGAGACACTTTCCATCGTTCCATTTTTTTCCTGAAGATCCCAGTTCAGTTGACCTCTTTGGCTACCAGAGGTATTTCTGGCCACTGTGCCTTTTCCCCTAGACTCAAAATTTCACTTCTATTCTCCTGTCATCTGCAGTAAGCAGGTATTCTTTCCAAGGTTTAATAACCTTTGGCAATTATTAGGAAATTGACGAGATGGAGAAGTAGCAAACAGGATGAAAGAACTGAAGCTACAAAGTTATAGCTCTCCCCATAAAAGTTATCCTTATAATGTATACAAAGAGACTAAACAAGATTTGTTAGATCTTCTATTGGTCCTTCTACTAATTCAATTCTAGTCTTAAAGCAAAGCCAGCCTCCTATTGCCTAATCCCTTATTACTTAATAAGATCACTGCACTTTGGTTTTTGTTATACATGACAGTTTCTATTCCAACTCCTCCTATGTTTCAGAGGAAGGCAGGTCAGTAGAGATTGTTGTTAACTTGGGTGTCAGGAAAACACTCATTTACAACTAAGAGAAAACTCCAGGCCCTCATCTCACATTCTTATTTTACTTTATAACAACTCTTCAACGTCATTTATTCTCTGACATCTTTAAAATTACTTTCCACATAAAAACTCTGTAAATCCAACAACGAAAAGCTCTTGCTCTAGTGAGAAGGGACTAAATGCTTCCTTCTAAACAGGGAAACGTCGTGTGAAGTCTAACTTCTAAAGAGCGAGATGGAAGACCTTCGAAATTCGCAGAGGTGGTTTGACGGAAAGAAACGCCCTTGTTATTCGAGAGGTCGCAAACCCCTGGCCCCCGGTTGAAGCGGAAGCGCCCGGTACACTTCTGTCCGGGCAAGCGGCAAGATGCTCCCGGGCTTTCGGGAAGCCGCCATGGAGGGCAAGCCCGGGCATCCTCAGCAGAGTTATCTCACGTCCGGGCCCCCAAGCCCGGCATAAGTTCGTCATAAACACACTAGGCTGAGATAGAAGCGCGGCCGAGGGGGCGGGTCACGCAACTGTCAAACGAAGCCCACCCTCCCCTTGCTCGTCCCCAAGGCGGCAAAACTTACCAACGCGACTCTCTCCAGTTGCCTCAGGACCACGACTACAACTCCCAGGAGGCTGCGCGGCGTACGGAGCAGCGTCCTTCCCAGAATGCAGCACAGTGGCGTCCCCGTCCCTCCTTCTCCTTTCTCCGTTCCTCCTACTTTTCTACCCGGCGTCACCCGGGAGGGCAGGAGGTAGGCTGCGGGAGGGCAGTCCGAGCCTCGGCGTGTTGCGTCAGACGTTGGGAGGAGGACGGGGCGGGGAGCTGGGGGGAGAATGGGAGGACGAAGGGGAGGGGAGAGGGGAGGGGAGGGGAGGGTAAATAGTGGGCCAGGCAGGAAGATGGCGGCGGTAGCGGAGGTGTGAGTGGACCTGGGTCTCTGCAGCTAGATTTTCTTTTCCCTTCTTCCTCCCCTTTTCGTTTACCCCGAGGTTGGCATCGAGGGGGCTGAGTTCGGGTGGCAGCGCCGGGCAGAGCGCAAGGGTCACGGCGACGGCGACGACGGCGGCGGCGGCTGACGGCTGGAAGGGCAGGCTTCCTTCGCCACTCGTCCTCCTTCCCCGGTCCGCTCGGTGTCAGGCGCGGCGGCGGCGGCGGCGCGGCGGGCGCACTTCGTCTCTCCTCCAGCTTCCTTCTGCTCCCGAGCGGGCACTCCTTCCTTCGCCATCCTCGGACGCTTCACCCCGGGGACTGGGCGCCTCCGCCGGCGCAGCTCAGGGAGCGGGGGCCGGTCTCCTGCTCGGCTGTCGCGCCTCCATGTCGGATAACCAGAGCTGGAACTCGTCGGGCTCGGAGGAGGATCCGGAGACGGAGTCCGGGCCGCCTGTGGAGCGCTGCGGGGTCCTCAGCAAGGTGAGCAACCCGCGGGGCCGAGGACCCCTTGCCCAGACTCACCTGCGGCGAGGCGAGCCGCTGAGGGCATGGGGTGGGGCTGGGCGCGAGGCACAGACTCTGCCGGGGCGGGGGCTGCGGAATGTGCCGGGGTGTGGGCCCGAGTACTGCGGCACAAGTGCCCGGGCCAGGGGTGGGTGGGGGTGGGGGCAGAAGGGGACTGTCTTCCTCGCCTGCTCTGGGGCTCGACGGCCTGGGACCGGGAAAGACCTGTCCCAACCCCGGATCCTGTTTGGGAGCGGGATGCGCACCGTGACTTGGGACCCAGAGCGGCAGCTGTCCGGGTATAGCAATTTGCGTTGGGCAACAGCGGTACCCGAAGGACTGGGCATGGGAACCGTGCACCTCAGACCTCTCAAACGAGATTAGTCCGGAGATGCCAAGCAGAATAGGGTCGAGGGGTTTCTGCAGACCCTGCTTTTGAGACAGAAGCCGGAGCAACTCGGCTTGGTGCTGAAATCTGAGGTGATAAACTATGCCAGGCTAGATGTAGTGAAAGATCTCAATGAGAGGAGGAGTTTTGTACTTTTCCCCGTACTCTTTACCCCAGTTCAGAGAAGAGCTATTGAATAGTCAGGTGATAGGTACAAGAAATATTCACAGTAACTTGAAACCTGTCAGAATGGAGACCTTTAGTCCAGGAAGAAGAGCATTATTTAATAGTAAAATATTCTTAGTGGGCCAAAGTAAGGAAAAAACATCTTACTTTTACTAAATTTTTTAAAAGCACTTTTCCAAAATGTTTGCAAAGCAGATAGTCATTTGTAGAGTTTGAAAGCTAATTAATTGAAATGGATGAAGCCCTTTTTAAGAGAGAAGGTGGGTGATCTCTTATTTTGGTAGTACATAGTTTGGGGTTTGTTGGGGTTTTTTTCTTTTTTCTTTCTTTCTTTTTTTTTTTTTTTTTTTAACGTTTTTGCTATGAGAAGATCCACATTGTCTTTTTTACTTCCTTCTCTCTTCCTGTTAAACTTTTAGAAATGGCTGGAGCTAGCAGTTAACTTGGAGAGGGGGAGCAAGGTCCAGTCTCTCAACAGGCTGGTCATAAGATCCTAGATCATGTGCAGCCACTGGCTATTAAGAAATCACCCTGCTTCCAATATACATACTTTGGCTAAGCATTGGGACGTTGTTTGTGGAATTGTTTCATACTAGCTTTTATATTGTCTTTAGAAGGCTGAGAAAGGACCTAAGAAAGGCATAAGTATGTCAGAACTAAGGCTTGTGAGTGTTAACTTTAATTTGCATACAGAAAAATTATGGTGTGTGTTGATACTGTGATCATTATTGGAATTTCAGTGAAAAGTTTTCAGTAAAGTGAAGCTCTCTAGGGTTTCTTTGGATTAAATGTATTGTGTAATTTAAGAATCTATGTTGAACATGTGCAATAAGTATACATTTCTCTTTGGAACTGTTATGAAATGGGCTCTTTGCTTCTCAGTGATGCAGGTAATTTCACCACTTTTTTCTCATTAAATGAGAAGCAGACTTCCAAATTAGTATTGTGGAGTGTTAGGTATTTTACAAAACAAGCCGTACTTTTGAACTATTGATCATCACTTTTTGGGGGATAGGAGGTTCGTAGTGATTGGTGGAGTCACCAGTGCTCTGAGTATATACTGTATATGAGTATCTGAGTATCACTTACTTAGAGCAGTGTAGTAAGTGTATACTTTATGACAAAAAAATGGAAGACTATCTTCTTGATATCTAAGTGTATAGAAATGTAGTATTTGACCACTTCTTTGGTTCGTAAATAACTTCATTGTTGCTGCATACATAGAATCAACTTAGTTTTGGTGTTCTTGTTAACAGCTATGAAGGAAATTTCCCTGAAATTTAACAATTTATGGTTACATATGTTTTCTTGGAAGCTTTTTAATCAATAATATTTTTTATTGAATGAATGCTTTTAAATTTAAAGTACATATATATTTTCAGCCTTTGTATTCACCTGGTAATTTTAAACAAAATTAGAACTCAGCCTCTGTTCTTTTCCTTCTGCTTAGTAATGTAGTTAAGTCCAAATACTAATTTGTTTTGTCCCCCACTCCTCCCCCCGCCAAATGGAGTGAGTTTGGAATGGTGGTGGTGGAGTAAACTTGTACACCAGCCCAAAGGTTTTTTTTTATATAAATATATTTTCTACAGACTTGCTTCTTAGGCACATAAGTTCCAAAAATACTGGATAGACAATAATTCTAGGTGGTTATAACAAATATCAAGATAGATTGTGAATGGGGAAAGATTGATGCCTTAGTAGGACTTGAGAGCAACTAAGCCTTGGTCAGTCTCATCCAGTTCCTTCTGAATTCTCTCCATCCTTTTTATCTTATCTTTACCTTAACGTCTTCCCCACATACCTGTTTGCTGAAATTCTGTCCATGTGTAGAGTCCATCTCAACTATTCTTTTCATAAAGACTTTTCTTATTTCACCAACCATCCCAGAGCTCCTTCTCTTGAATTCCTATAGCATTTTATTAGTAACTTGCTTCTGACTCTTATTCTAAATGTATTTTTTTTCCTCTTGCATTTATGCTTGCTGGACTATTGGAGACAGGACTGTTTGCTTCTCCTGCAGTGTCTGCATATTGCCTTGTTTCTGTTAAATGGGGAAGAGCCAGGGAATGTTATGAGGGTAGAGAAAAGGCAAAAATCTTCCTTCTAGCTGTGAATAGGAGTTAACATTTTCTGCGTAAATCCTGAAGCTTATGTAATTATTGGGTCCTCTGTAAGAAAATAATATGAAAATATGGACACATGATTTCTAGGGCCCCTTCTGTCACTTTGGAAGGTGTCTGTTCTTGTGAGCTTCCCTGAAGGTTTCTAAGCTTCATTAGCTATGCATAGCTCTGCCTCCAACTGAAAAAGTACTGTGTGCTCGTCAGTGTTCTAAGTCTATTCTTGCTTAATGTTAAACAACTTTAAGAGGTAGAGTTTGAGAAACAAACAAACAAACAGGTAAGTAACTTGGCCACAATCACAGTTAGTAGCTTTCTGACGGGCAGTAATTGGAAGCGAGGTAGGATTAAGGTATGCCAGTCTAAATGATTTGTATTACAGGCAATTGGGAGTTGTTCATGTAAGTTTTGGAGCTGGAGGCTCAATGAGGTTAATATGTAAGATAAGTAAGCAAAATATGCCTAATAAATAAGATTATGTAAGTTATAAAATAAAAAAGAAGATATCAGAGGTAAGGTTATTAAGCCTTCTCAGGAATCCAGGAACCCGATAATTTGATTGGATTACTTGAAGATAAAGGAGTCAGATTTAAGGGTTTAATAGGAAGGAAAGATTGATAATGGGCTATAAAGATTAAGAAGAAACAGTCAGGTATTGAGTATCTCCTAGGAATATAGTAGGTGTATTCATGATTTTATTCACCCATTCAAGTGACGGAGGAAAGAAACTGAAGTTCACAAAAGTTAAATTGTCAGAACTTTTCACACAGTTGGTAAAAGTAGTTGAGTCTCTCTGATGTTGTATCCACTGCTCTGTCCATACGGTACAGGAACGCTGAGCCAGGTTTGAGTCTGAATGGCTCTGGCAGTAGCAGTATAGCCAAGGAAGTAGGAACAGAGGGGGATGTGCATCCTATGGGTGGAGGTAAATTTAGTTTTGTATGTAACCATCATTATTTCAAGTCTTTCAAGTCGCTGTCTTAAGTGGTAGTAAATCGCAGGGAGTTCAAATGAGGAAATAGTGATTAGAGAGCCCTCAGGAAAGAATGAGTTAACTTGGCAGCATGGATAAGCTCTCAGGGAGGGCCTGTAATGATGGAGTTTAGAAGATATAAGAGCTGAACCATCTCAAACCTGTGGAATTAGGAAATAGTAAAAAAAAGATTCCTCTGAGCCAATGCAGTATATTTTTAACAATCCATTTAGAGTTAGTTTTTGGCAGATAGTTTTTGAGTTAGCAGATAGTTTTTGGAATTGTCTGTGCTTAAAACCCCGGAGCATAAAAACATGCAATATCAACAATTCCCATAGAGGTTACATTTCTGCCTTTGCACGTTTGTTGATTGTGATCTTCACTGTGCAGCAGCGAAACTTTAGCAACACAGAAACCATTTGTAGGTACTGGAAACAGATAATCCAAGTATGTTTTTGAAAACCAGTTTTATGTTTGTATTTTACTCTTGAATTTGAAAAATAGATCTTCGAGAAACTTAGAAAATGAATTAACTATTCTATAATATTGAGTTCTGTGGAAGTAAAAATAAAGTTGATGTAGACTTACTAAAGATTAATAATCTATTTTTACTTTAATGTAGTTGTAAACATCATACATTTTCATGTAGGAATAACTTACAACAAAAATAGAGTTTGGGCCATGATTGACTTCTACTTCTGTTGATTTAGAAGGCTTCATGCAGTACTTGGTGTAGGAGAATGACAGACTGTATAGCCAAACTTACTTTTCTATTGAATATGTCAATTATGACAGGGACCAAAACAATTTAAGAGTTTTGAAGGTGGTGAGGAGGGGAGGATGAAAGCACACAAAGAGTAAAGCAGAATTTTTAACTGAAATGTGCTTCAGTTTTATTCCTCAAATATTAGAAGAAAATGTTATATTTTATTATCTATTTTATTTATAATTTTGTAGAAATTACTGAAAATTATATACAATCTGGAAATTTTTAACTTTTCACTTTTTTTTTTTTTTTTTACTGTTTATAATTAAGTTAGGACTTCTCACATTTTGGTTCTAAACTTAGATTGACTGCTGTTTCAGAAAGTTTGCATTTCTAAAATACTGACTTAAGTTTTTGTCTTCTTCTCCTCCAGTGGACAAACTACATTCATGGGTGGCAGGACCGTTGGGTAGTTTTGAAAAATAATACTCTGAGTTACTACAAATCTGAAGATGAGACAGAATATGGCTGTAGAGGATCCATCTGTCTTAGCAAGGCTGTCATCACGGTAAGCTCCTGTTCTCCTTCATTCAACAAATATTTATTGAGCATAAGTTATACACCAGGAACCTATTCTAGGGGCTTGGGATATGTCTATGAACAAAACAGATTAAGATCCTTGCTCTTGTGGAGCGTGCAGTCTAATATTTTTTTCCATAAAATTATTTTAGAGTGTATTACTACATACTGTTATTTTATATAGACATGTAGCATTTATCTCGTTGGTTACAGCAAGCCATTAAACAAGGGCTTCAGAAAAAAAGATGTTAGATGGCTTCATATCTGATAGATGGGGACAGTTACTTGGTGAGTTATTGAAAAAGTTAAAGCAGGAAATTCACTTGCCAACTTTTTGATGTAGAGCTAACAGTATGTCTTTGAATATGGAGTTGACAGAAGTTGTTCTTGTGTAAAGTATTATATCCATAATGCCTGATTTGCAATTTCCAGTTTTCATTCTCTAAAGTGGAATAAAAACTTAAAGATACTTTTGGAAAACCCTAAATATAGGTTCCTCTTTTTGACTTTTAATGTTTTTCCCTAATATTTTACAGATGTCTCACCTTTATTTAATTTAATACCTTTTAAACGAATGACTAACCTTTGTTGAGTCATTCTACTTAGCTTGCATTCAATGTAGTTTACATAGAAACAGCTCTTGTATTCCATAGATTTACATGATGTTTAAGTTATATAAGAACTACAGCAAGTAAACTGGCATAAACAGGTTTAGGAACAACCAACTGACTTGTTAAACATGTAACTCAACTAGTGGGCCGGAAGTGCCTGAATATACTAAAAATAGCATACTAGTTGAGAGTGGTCAGCATGTCGAGGCATATTTAATAAAGGGCAAAAAAAAAGGTATTGTCTAAGGCAGGTCAGTTAAATGGAGGTCAGTTAAGGAAGCTATTGTAGTTAAAATCTAAAAATGGGTGTGCTAAAACAATCATAGATTTTACTGATACATTCAAAGAGAATTCATGTTACGTTAGAGTTTATACTGTTTATAAAGATAAATGATGTACTTTGGATATGTGTTGATATGTAAATATGACTTACATGTGTTTATGTTACACATTTAAGTAAAACCATGTAGTATTTTTCCATCACTTTTCATACATTCTGCTCCTCTTATATATTCAGAGTTGGAAAATAAAAGCTTAGTTGGATATTGAGTTGGAAAAACTTATAGAAGGGTTGTTTGGAAATGTTCAGAATGAAACTACTACTCTCCATTCTTATGGACAATTTTAGAGAAGTAGTTTGAACATAAAGGCTCACTATTTGGACTGGTATGTGGTACATTATAATGTACTTTTGAAATTGTACCTATTGATAGTTAATATTTTGGGATTTTATTTCTCTTGAGATAGATCACTATTCATGCTAGAGGAAAGAATCATGGATAGTAATGTACTTTACAATTTTGAAATGTCTTTCCTTGGTTCTTCCCCTTCTTCCTTCTTTTGCATATTGTTGGATGCTTGTTAGTTACAGTGCTTGTTTGACTCTTTGAAAATAGTTTATATCTTTATTCTTTCCTAACTAGTAGTATTCCTAGAGTACCATGCTAGTTTAAATTTAGTTATACTGTCTTGAATTATGGACTGTGGTAATAGTGCATGGCTTATTTGGGGAAAAGAAAAACTTTTAATAAATATTCACATTGCATCTGCTCAGGAAAAAACAATGTTAGTTCTTCGTAGATTTTTTGTTGTTGTTATTTTGGTATTTTTGTTATCTGTATTTGCTTATAGAACATTTCATTGTGGTTCATAATCAAAGAAATGAGTAGGAAAGCAAGACAATTTGAAAACATTGAAGGGACCTAGTGGAAGTACTCACTGGGCTAAGTGGTAGTAGAGAAGGTAAAAAAAAAAAAAAATGAATGAAGCAGCAGAATCTGAGTGGTAGTTAGTCTTCGCTATAGTTAACCAGGTGGTATGGAGAAACACAAGTATTTATATTCCTGAACTTCTTCAACTCTGTTCCTATTCTGTTGGTTCGTAAGTTCACTGTTACATATTTCAAGGAAATTACAAAATATAACTGAATTCAGTGAACTTCTCAGAATGAAGTTTATAAATAGAGTATGTATTTGAGTTAAATTTTTAAAATGTAATACTAACCTCTGTTAAATAGGTATCTTTTGCTTTTCTTAAATATGGGCTATTATATGTATCAATTCATCTCTGAAGGCAAAGAATAAATATGGTTGAATTTGTGCACGTGACATCCTTATGAAATTGATAGTATTCATATATGAGGAAATCTGGACTTGAAGAGTTGTGACTTTACTGTAACCATTCATTAACATATTTATTATTTGTTGGTGGACCTAATGTTTGAGCCCACCTTTTCTGATAGAACCTAATTCACCGTTAAATTCACTATTATTTTAGCTTAACAATTAAGTCATTCCTTATTCAAATCATGTTCTTTAGTAATGTGATAATAAATTGAGTGAAATACTTTTAAGGAACAAAGTATTTCCTGGGAGAATTTGTTACCTGGAAATAATTCTTAACGTGAAGGGATTGGGAGTAAGTTAATGAGAGGAAAAATAGTACTCTGTCACTTTTTGGGAAATCACCTATTTGTATGTTTAATAAATGTTTGTAGAAAGTTGAATTTCTCAATTATTATAGTTTAATAGTTATTTGCTTAAGACCCAGTCCCTGCTACAAAACTTGACATGTAGTAGATGTTCAATATATGTTAGTTGATCAATCAAAGCAATGTTTATGGCGTATTTAAACTGTTATTTACTTTTTAAGTTCTGTTTTTTTTTTTTTTTGTGGTACGCGGGCCTCTCACTGTAGTGGCCTCTCCTGTTGCGGAGCACAGGCTCCGGACGCGCAGGCTCAGCGGCCATGGCTCCCGGGCCCAGCTGCTCCGCAGCATGTGGGATCTTCCCAGACTGGGGCACGAACCCGTGTCCCCTGCATTGGCAGGCGGACTCTCAACCACTGCGCCACCAGGGAAGCCCCTTAAGTTCTGTTTTTAAATAAAGTATGCTTGGTAAAAAAATATAATCCATGGCATGAAGAGGTTTAAAAAGTAAATGCTTTTCTTTACTCTTAGTCCTGCACTCAAGACATAACGAAAGTCAAATTTTTGATCTGTCCTTCCAGATACTATGTATGCCTATATAAGCATTTATTTGTTTATACCCTTCATTTTCATTTACACAGATAGCACCATACTAAATCTATCGTTCTGCACCTTGTTTTCTTTTAATATGTCTTGGACATTTACTACATTTTGTTGAATATTGTGGATGTACCATGTCTTATTTATTTGCCCCTTCCCTGTTCTTGGAAATTTAGATCATGTTTAAATTTGTTTTACTACAAACACTCTTGAAACAAGCATATGTAGTATTTAAAAAAATTTTTTATAGTTACTGTCAAATGCCCTTTCAAAAGTACCACTTTTCATTCCTACAGATAGTGCATGAGTGTCCCTATTTCCCCATACCCTCAAATATATATATTTTTAATTTGGTTGCACTGGGTCTTAGTTGCGGCAGGTGGGCTCCTTAGTTGTGGCTCCAGGGCTTCTTAGTTGCTGCACACGGGCTTCTTAGTTGCTGCATGCGAACTCTTAGTTGCAGCATGCATGTGGGATCTAGTTCCCTGACCAGGGATCAAACCCAGGCCCACTGCATTGGGAGTGTGGAATCTTATACACTGTGCCACCTGAGAAGTCCCTTCATACTCTCAAGTATTGAGGAAGTCAGGTTTTGGCAAATGTTAAAATATTTGGCAAACTGCTAGATAAAAATGGTGTCTCATTATTTTAAGTTGCACTTTTTTTATTCAAGAGGGTAACTTCATATGTTTATAATTCATTTTTTCCTCTTCTCATCGCTTGTTCATCTCTTTCTTAGTTATTGATTTGTAGCTCTTTATATCTTGATATTTGGCAGTTTGTCATATTTAATGCAAATGTTTCCCCCCAGGTTGTCATTGTCTATTTTTTCTTTCCTTATTTTATATTCTTTTTAAGCCTTAACAGAAATTAAAAATTTTTATGTGCTCTTATTGACCTTTTCCTTTATGGCTTCTGTATTTAGTTATGTTTAACTAAAACATCACTCAAAGACTATAACTCTATATAAATGTAGTTGCATTTTCATCTACAATTTTACATTTGAATTTGATTCCTGTGGGAGTTATTTTAGTATAAGAAGTGATATGGGGGCTTCCCTGGTGGCGCAGTGGTTGAGAGTCCGTCTGCCGATACAGAGATCACCGGTTCGTGTCCCGGTCCAGGAAGATCCCATGTGCCGCGGAGCAGCTGGGCCCGGGAGCCATGGCCGCTGAGCCTGCGCGTCCAGAGCCTGTGCTCCGCAACGGGAGAGGCCACAACAGTGAGAGGCCCGCGTACCACAAAAAAAAAAAAAAAAAAAGAAGCTATATGGGAATTTAGCTTTTTAATTTTTTCCCAAATGGCTAACCATGTAGTCTAATACCATTAATTGAAAAATTCACCTTGTCCTCACTGGTTTGAAATGTTACCTTTATTGTATATTACATTACCATGTGTATTTGAGGTTGTTTCTGGACTCTCTCCTCTTCAGTTGGTTTGTCTATTCCTTTTTGTACCATATATAAAATTATATTGCTAATACTTCATTAATCAGTTCTTTAAACTGCTAATGATCCTTTTGTGAAAATAAAAGAAGTGGTTTGTAGCTACTGAGATTAGAAGACATTTCAGGAATTAGGTAGGTAGAGATTTTTGGTAAAATGGAAATAGTAATGTCTTTAGAATTGGTTTGCCTAAGCTCTATCTATAGTCCCAAGTCTTACCTTAGATATCTGACTTTGTATACCTACTATCTTGTAAAACTTCTTTAATTACCAAATGAATGGGATTCGTATTATTCTTATTATAGGTTGGATATAGTAAAATTTATTCATCAATTTAGTGTTTCAATATTCTCAGATGGAAAACTGAAAGGTAATGAAAATGTTTACTGCTACATTGAAAAAAATT